AACCCGATATTAGGTATTGTTACCGTACTTTTTGACTCGAGGCCGCAACATTTTTCACAACCAATTGGCAAAACAGCTCCAAAACACCTTGATTTTGCAGCCCGTGTAACAAGTTTGATGCCAGAACACCTAAGGTCTAGTCACCAAGTCAAGTACCTAACTCTGCCTCTAAAAAAATTGTGGTTCTTTAAACGTATAACTTATTTCCTAGAAGTTTGAAATTTTGTGTAGTGCAACTGCAGGACTGCGGGGTCGGAGCCGGAGCTTGACAGCTCGTCAGCTTGACTTGACAGCTCTAAAATTAGCAGTTTCCAAAGGAGGGGGGGGGGAGGAATAAGAGCTGGAGGTTCTGTTGGCCGTTGTGACTGGTGGACGGTGGTTTTATAGGGGTCAGACTAATATAGGCTGACACTTAGTATTAAAACCTTCTGGACCCTCTCACACTACACACCGTTCCGTCATTTCTATCCTCAGGACAGTCAAATCCCTCTCCTCCACGCCTCAACCCTTTGTTCCGGGCTGCATGGGCAACTTTATCCCATGCGGGAACGCCCGATAAGAGCACACCCGTAACCGGGTGCGGTGAGTGCTTTGCGGGGGGGGGGGGGGGGGCTGGTCGGCCTGGCTTCTGGACGGGCCCAGCCCCGGCGACTCACCAGGGTGCTCGCCCAGACCCCCCCCCCCTAATTCCTATCATCCTTCCGCCTCTGAAATGGTCTCGTTAGACCCAATAAAACAAATCCCAGAGTCCGTGGCGAGGTCCTCTCACACTAGCATCAGGTCCTCAAAGGCCATGGTGAATTGGTGAGCCCCTTCGGCTGTCGTTTTGCCTGGCACGGGAGGATGACCGTTTAAAAGTGGGCGTCTTGCTTGAGTATTGTGAATACTCTAAAATGTGTGGTTTATTTATGCAGCTGTCACCCCACCCAGAGGACCGAACTTCAGCCCTTGATGGGTACCAACCCTTGGTTGGTAGGTAAGTACCCAAGGGTGTACTTACCTGAGCCGCTGAAGTGCCTGAGTTCTCAATTGTACGGTCGAACTGACCAGCATCAGTATTCTTTTAAAAAGGGTTTATTTCTGTTTACATGGCTCCATTGTGAATGGCCGTTGCAAATAGTCACTTTTTAAATCATTTATGGGTGACTTTTGGAGGGGAAGTCCCCCCCCCCCCGGATTCCTCGACTGGGGGGACGCGTCCCCCGTGCCCCGCTTTCGACGCCCATGAGCATGACCGACAATACCCCAAAATGACCGAAGAACATTTTATAGGCACAGGTCTCGCGGGTTTTAACGGTAGGTTTTGCACCTAGAAAATTTTGTGTACTTCAGGCTATATCTTTGTCGTCTTAAGCTTTTAAGTGTTGAAGATGCGATCGAATTGTTGGGTAACAAGCCGGCCAAGATCGTGTAAAATGGCTTCATCGTAGATCGATTAGTTTCTGAGATATAACCGGAAATCTAAAAGTGCAAAACCTACCGCTGCGTGCAAAACCTACGTGCAAAACGTGCAAAACCTCTCGCGAGAGCCGTACCTATAACTTTGACGACATTTCCCTCCCATATCGATTCGTAACCATTGCATCACCATGCGCGCGCTTCAGTGTGGGTACAGTTACCTACGTCTCAAATCAGGTGAGGTATGTCTATATGGGCTGCGGAGTCGACGGATTTTAGGGTGACTCCAACTCCGACTCCGACTCCGGCTTCAAAAATCGACTCTGGCTCCGACTCCAACTCCGATCCGACTCCGACCCCGGAGTTTCTATTGAAATCCGTATCATAGTAGCCGTTTTCACGACGGCCATCTGGTACACATTTGGTGCACATCTGGTACAGATTAGGTGCAGATTTGGTCAAATCAGGTTTAGTGTGTCTCTTAGCAGCTATCAGCTAGGGTTGCACTAATTGCTTATCTGCCTGCTTTGTCATATTATCAGAGAGCATCATCGATTAAAACACTGACATAAATTCATAAAATGAAGATATTTGCTGTAAAAGAAATTAGGTGCAGATTTGGTCAAATCAGGTGCATTCGCCGGATAGCTCGTCGTGAAAACGGCTAATATTGAAGTTCATAATTTGTCTTGCCTGAAACGATCCCTCTTGTGCGTTCCAAGGGGCTTTGCATTGCAAATATGCACTAAAATAAATATGCACTAGAAATAACATGCATAATTATTTAGCAGGTTCTGAGGAATTTACCGTCTACCGCTTCTTTCGCTGAATACGTTCGTCCGAAACAGCAAAATGGCCTTTTTTTCGACAAAATCTAATTTCGAGCGCAGTATCATCAATCAAGCAGGTGCAGCTCATGGCGTTGAGCCATGCGACGTTAACTCCAACTCCGGAGTCGGAGTCGGTAAGATTTTGGCAACTCCGACTCCGACTCCGACTCCGGGCAGAACTATCGACTCCGACCGACTCCAACTCCGACTCTGGTTACGACTCCGCAGCTCTGTCTGTATCATCGTGGCATGATAAGCTTCTTGTGATCGGGGAACAGAGCCATCGCGTGTGATGAATAACACATGGGTGGCAGGCGACATTGCCGCGTTCTATCGATGGGCTTCACACTGCACTTCCCCTGTATCTGCATTTCCTCAGCGATGTGTAAACGTCTGACTTTCCATAGCGCGTCATAAATGAAGGAGCGGGGTCCATCCGTCCGCTAATTCGGTTCGACTGCACGCGAGACGGATACGGCTGCATGCAGATACAGCGCACCCATCACTGGTTAGTGACGCGCCTAATCCGATACAGAATGTCGGCTTCAGGTAATAACATCACAAATTTCTGCGAAACTGGAGCCAGCGGCTGCGCGCGGTACCAGCTGCCGCCAGGCAGGTAGGCATCACATATTGTCACATAGCCGGCGACATGGAGGCTCTATTCGTTGAACGGGCGACAGTGGACGTGTGACGCACGACGTCCTTCGTAAAATACCGACTCAGCGAAGGCCGACGGCGGATGTTGTGGCCACCCTTCCTTCCGCGGTCTCATTGATGATGACACCGAACTAGTAAAAATGCACACTGACGCTTATAAAAAACAACCAGCCCTGAAATAGTCACTGCATTAAACTCTAGCCTGATGACGGTTTATCGAAAATCCTATCAAATAATTACTTGCTAATTAGAGGGTTCCTATCTTGCAATGCGCTTATCATATTTACTTTAGAACTCACTCATCCACGGATAATATTAAGTACACCTCACCCATCCAGATTCCAGTTCGTATCATAATGCTTAACCATAAAACGTTTGAAACTGTCAATTTAAGCTTTATACCAGACAATCAATCTATATGTACCATATGTACAGCCCTCTGCAAACTGCGTGGTAGGTATTCTTTTTTTTCGACAAAACCGAGAATAAGGCGAATACCATGCAATCGGTCATTCGGAAATCGTAACGGCAAGACGCGCGAGACTCCGCACCTTAGATTGGCATAATCATCGTACTCATTTTCCATCCATTTTGGCAACACACCCCAAAAGTTTATATTTGCCCCCAAAACAAACTATTGCATTTTGTTGCCACACAAGGCGCTTACTCTGTTTAGTGATAGACCTAATCGAAGGAGTGGAGCATGGCGCATCTATCTGCAGTGAGTTCCGACCGATTGATAGCATGGCCTTTGAGTTATTATCGGTATTAACGAAAAAAAAGAATACCTACCACGCAGTCTGCTGAGGGCTGTACATATATTTAGGAGTTAAGATTTTTCATAACACGATTGGAAACATTTCATCACAAAGCTTCCAATGATTCGGTCATCCTTTCGAGCGGACGGAGCTGTCCCTCGTACATATTTGTAGGTATGTACGTTAGGGGAGCGAGACAGTTTAGCTCGGACGGATAGAGTTGTTATGAGTTCAGCTGGACGGGATCATCGATCGTATGTTAATTCAGACGATAGGGGCTGTTGTTGAAAGCTCGGACGTACGGGATTGTCGTTGTTTAATTTCGGCGGAAAGGGCCATCTTTCGGAGTTCAGACGGACGGGGTTGTTGTTGAGTACAGGGGAACGAAATTGTCGTTATAAATGCAGGCTGACGGGATCGTCTTCGAGCACAGACGGACGGGGTGGACTGTGAGTTCAAAAGGGAGGGGTTCTCGTTATGAATTCATGCGGACGGGTGAGGCTGCCGTTCGTGTATAAGCTCGGATGGCTGTTGCAGTAGTAGACAGACAAGGTCGTCGTCCGAGGCTCGGATAGTCGTAGTAAAATAATCTTGGGATGGTCGGGGCTGCTGCGTTGCGACTGCTGTTGGTTCCGGCTCCGACCGGAAGCTCGTCGGCCCAGTGACGTGTTGTGCGTCACCTGTCCACTGTGGGTGACGTAGAAGAGGTGCGCGCCGCGATACCCGAGCCGGTTGAGCGATGCATCGAGCTGGTTCCGGGAACGGCTTAGCACCGCCGCGCCGGCGCGTGGGAACAGCGGCGGCGGCGATCGTACCGGTGACGGTGCCTATGTCTTTTCAGTTTTCCGATGATGGTGCTGCGGTATATTTTATTTCAAAGATATACATGCATGCTGGCGGCTAACTTTGATGAATTTCATGAATGCTTTTTTGCACAATATAGGTCGAAACTCCGAGGGAAGTTCAATTCATGAATTTACAGTAGATCCGCTGGTAGATGGCAAAAGTCTTAACTCATCAAAACTGCCGTTGTGTCTGTAATGCAGTTTCTAAATCTAATTTGTGAAATAGTTTAAATAGTTACGTAACCATCATGATGACGTTCCTGTTCCGGATGTCTCCAGGCTCCGGTTTAGCCGGCTCAATGACCTGTGCCGCCGCCGGGCTATTCCGCGATGAATTGGGTGACGGTGTGCTGAGTGACTCACCGCGGCCCGTCCGCCGGCCCGGGCCACCGCTCGTCTCTTGGGCGACATCAGCCGCGGCTCCGGGCGGCGGCGGCGGCGGCTGAGTCAGCCGGGCGGGGGCGGGGGCGGCCGCCGGCGGCGGCGGCGGTACGGCCGGCCAGTGGCGTCAGTCGGTGAGCGCGGCTCCCCCCGGCCGGTGCACAGCCCAGGACGGCGCAGTGACATGGAGCTGACGGCGCGATACCTGGCGGTGGCCGCCCTGCTGGCGGTGGTCGCGCACCGTGCCACATCCGCCGCCCTCAAAGACATGGACCCGGGCATCGTCGCCGAGTCTGCGGTAAGTGGGAGCCACGAGTCACGAGCGTTCCCAACACTTCAGCTGCAGTGCACATGTCTGCTGCCGTGCACATCTGCTCCTACTCAAACCAGGCGACACGAGCTTCATAGGGGCATCTGCTTGCATAACAGAGCCCATGTAGCGTGGTTGTCCACCTACTGGTCTCCCCTATCACCTATGCATATAAGACAGTTCTCCCCGTCGCGTCGATATAACCAGAGTACGACCAAATGCCTCACGTTATAGGGACTGAGGATGCGTGATCGAGCGATAACAAACGCTGTCGGCTCACCCAGCGGTGATCCTGTTCAGCGGCGTTCATTTGTATATAAAACACCATAAACATTTGTATCCTGACTGATTGTCGCCGTGTTTGAGGAGGTTCTCTGTTTAATTTGTCATCGAAGATGTCATCGACCTCAAGTCCAAGGAGAAGTACACGCACTTGAACCCTGCGCGTGGCATTGAACTGTGTACGTAGCCTGAACACACAGGCCACACGTCTCGTGACTTCTGCGTGCACGGTGCATGCATGTTGCACCGAGGAATCTATCCCGAGCCTGTTTCTAAAAATGGCTTTGTTGTGCTTTGCAATGTACAGTTTCCTTCCACATACGAATGCATGATTTCTGCATGTAGACATGCATTTTTAATGCGTTTATGTTTAGCGTTTGGCTATTCGATACAAAATATTACTTTGGTAATGTCGGATAGGTACAGGTACGCTTTGTTATTTCGATACTTGGCCTTGTATACAATTGAAACAATCCGGTTTTTCGGTGAGCTTAGCTATTTGTTATGATTGCCACTTATGCAGGCCGTTTGGTAGTCTATAAACCTCGACCCTCGTCCACACGTAAAGGGACGGCTCAAGTCCTTGCGTCCCTATAGCTGTGCTCGGGCCGCTAAGCATTGCCGGTATGATGCTCGTGGTTCGACAGTCCTTCAAAGCTCATACTGTCCTCCAAAGTGACGTTATTGTATCCCATGTCTATATGCAAAATCCTCACTATATCCTTTTGAATAAAGGATGGCACTACAATCGCTATATCCCTGTTCTTATTCCTCAGGTATATACGAGTAATACTTCTGATTCGCGTTACTTGTCCTTCCCTTTCTGCATCATGTTTATCTACTACACTATCATTGATAATACACAAGGTACGTACTGTCTGATGCTCCCATTCCCGAATCGTTAGCGACTGTCAGCCGTTACTGCAATAGCTAGCTGTTGGCCTTCGCTAAAGCTAGTGGAATCCGAATAATTATATTAATTTGTTTCTAATGACCTTTAACTAACAGTCATGACATAACATTATTATTAGACTGGTACATATTCCAACAAAAAACGTTCAGAAGTGCAAATAGTTTATTGTTTACTCTAATCGGGCCTTTCAACATTAACGCCGGTTACGAGCATTAGGACAATTGCGATTGGAATCTATATGTTCCAATAATGTCTCATGTCTTTGTCCGAGCTGTACCTATGCTACAAAAAGGAAGTCTGGATCAACCCAAGTTCATGCTCGCTCCTCTCTCTGTTTTGTATGGCTGTGGATTATGCATTCTACTCTGTGGGCTGTGTAAGTGTGTAGCCATGGCCCATGAGGCGGCTCGTCCCGCGGCCCGCCCGGCGCGCCGCGGCAGTGGCTGCCCCGGGTAGCGGTCGGCGCTCGGCGTCCGCGCTCTGTATCACGGCATCAGGATACGGGTCGGCGGCACCCAGTTACCGGGGCCGACTGTTTTCCGGACCGGGGACACAGTCGGATGCCAATCGAGAGGTAAATCTTACCGGCCTCCGCCGCCAACGCTTCCGCCGCGCGATACGCGCCCGCCCGCCTGCCTGGACGCATTTGTAAGTGGAAGGAAACCAACACTCACGCGGTCGCGCACGCACATATCCTCTGTTCGGTCCGATAAAACAGTCTGCATTCCATGAACTTGTGTCATATATGAGTGTTATGGACTGGGCGTAGCATTCCGTACGAAAGCCTTATGACAGGTGGTTTTGGAGTTTTGGTTTTGGAGTGTGACGGCTTCGAGCACACATTGCACAACGCGGCGAGGCCCTCGGTCCGGCGCTGCGAAGAGGCGCTGCGAATCGATTCAGATTTTCGTTGAAATGCCACCATGTTGCCGAAGGGATTACAGGCATGTGACACTCAGCGTCACATGCATATTGAATGGTAGGTATCCGACTGAATGTAGCTTTTGGGCCTGCAACTGAGGCGTCTAAGTTGATGTCGCAATTCGTACTGTATCAAACTGCGGGCTAACGTAGATATAGGCATAGATGTTGCAAATTGCAATGCCGTGGAAAGTATATATTTGGGCAGCAGGTTTTTGAACAAAAGATATTTGTAGAGCATATGATAATATGTAGAATATAGTAGAATATACATATATACGTAGAATGTAGTAGGTAGGTAGGGATAGCATAATGATTAATGATGCACCGCCACGATCGGTTTGGTTGGAATTGAAGCCCGGTGACGACCACCTTCAAACTATGACCACACACCGAATTTCGAAAATGATGAAAATTCAGCGCAAACTCGATAGGCGTTATCACAAGTGTATTCGCGGCCATTGGGGCGACGCAAGAAAAGAAGAAAACAACTGGCCCCAAGAACTTTAAATTATCAGTTAGCATGCATCTTTTCCTTGATATGTAGAGAATTTACCATTAATTGTTAGAGAAAATTGCATTTAAAATCTTCCACTTATGTTTTTTTCATCGTTTGCACAGTATGTTCTTTTAATAAGCTAGAAATACTAATTAGAAATAGTTCCCGCATCATCAAGAACAATAGGGAAGGCTTGAAGTGAATACAATAATCTAAACGGTTTTGTAAGCCATGTGAAGACACTTCTAAAATTGCCTGTAGAAATATTAAAGGCAAAAGTTCAACTTTTTCACAAGACGGATGGCTATAAACCTATTCAACGTGTGACAACTCAGCCGGTATTTCGTCGCCTACAGCCCAGCTTTCCCTAGTGACCGATAGAGGCGCTGCTATCGATGTCCGCCCGTGCCGCCTAACGTCGAGATCATTTAACGTTTCAATCTCTACCTAGGTTTCCGTCGGATCCGCTCCAGCAGTTTTCGCGTGACCTCACACGTCAACACAATGCTCTGTGTGGTACTTTGGTCGCTGAGTGCGTGCCCTCTGGCTCGCTATATAGTGTTGCAGCGCAGGTGGTCCCTTGCCGGTGGTCTGCGGTTGCCGGATGACTCAGCCCCGTATACGAGACCGGCACCACGGTGACTCTGAGCGCTCACAGATTAGCCCCGACGGCCGGCCAATTGAGAGGCCCGAGGCCGGCGCGCATGCTGCCATCCCGTGAGTCATTTCCGGCGGTCGTAATGGTTCTGGAAGTGTGGCGAGCAGGACGGAGGATTACACTTGGGATTATCGAGTTGATGACTGGTCTACTCGACGGCCAGTGCAGCTGATTGTGATTTCTAATAAACCGGCTGCGTGAGGACATTGGGAAATCCGCGGCTGCGCCACTGCTCGGCAAGAGTCCACCTCTGCCGTCGGCTATTGTTTGCTTATTTGTGCCTGAGCCGGACAGACGCTGTTGCAACTCGTCCGGGCTGGCGATGCCGTTTGACGCATATTTTCTCAGCATAGAAGGTCATTATGTATGCATTGGCGCTCTCACAAGCTATCAATTGGCATGGATCGAGACCCGTAATTTCCTTTCGCTCGAATTTTTTTCCGTTGGCAAACCGCAATGCTTTCCTGGGCGAGCTCGGTACACATGCAACCGATTTCCTATAATTGTGCAGTAAAGTTTCTACCGAATTCCATCGAATTCCCCACTGCGTCATGGCGAAGGTCGCGGCGCATCTCCGTTCACCCGGCGACCACACTGGCTCAGAGGCCTAACCGGTTAGCGCGCCTGGGGCTGTGTTCGTACCACTTGTCCGTCATGTGAAGCCCAACAATGGCTCCGTCTCCGGTCGGGCGACTCACCCGACCGGCGACCCCGACACAGATCACGTGCGCCACGTGCCGCCGTGGCTAGCACGTGCCGTATGACGTACGACCGGAGCCGTTTGGACCGGGTGACAACGTGCGTGCTCGTGGACACAATAACACGTGGCCTTGCCGAATGGCGCTCAGACCCGAGCGGTTTACACTGTCAGACGGAACTGCAACGTGTCAAGTTCCTCTAACAGTGACCTGTCACTATGACTGGTGACTGTAACCCCGCCTCTGTGAGTGGGTTCTGCGTGCCACTCCGTGCCGGCTGGTCCAGCGCCGGTGAGTCAGAACTGCTCTGTCATCAACACTTCACTTAGGGCGACCACCAAACACCCGTGCAGACCAGCTGGTACATCCGAGCTGATCTGACCGCGGGGTGCGGCTGGTTCTGCAGGGGCTGCAGCTGGCCTATAGCTGACCACAGCTTGTCTCACTCATCAGCGAACGCCCCCGCCACTTCAGGGCACAGTGGCCACTCTACGTCTCTCTGCCTCACCCATCGTACCGTACCGGTTATTGGTCGCATTCAGTCCTCCGTTCATTCAAGCTGCATGGCGATGTTGATGAAATGATAGATGAAAGTGGTTAAATGACAAATGATTAAATAACTCCCACAGAAATAGAAACAAATATGACAGCTTGCCCGATGATGGCCAAAAGCTCATTTACGATTGATTTTTGGATTGTGCTGATTTTATATCTGTCGTTTCGTTTCAGGCGTACCTGGCCAAGTACGGGTACATCAGCTCCAGCAGCGGCGACGGCAGGACCAGCGCTCTCCGCTCACTCGAGAACGACATCGCCGAGTTCCAGCGCTTCGCAGGACTTAACGTCACAGGTCAGTCCAAGCGTAACGTGACTGATGACGTCACAGGTCAGTCCGAGCGTAACGTGACTGATGACGTCACAGGTCAGTCCGTCTGTCCGAGTTTATAGTGACTGATGACGTCACAGGTCACTGGTCAGTCCGTCTCGTCGAGATGCGATTGATGCCGCCACCAAGTGATAACGCTGAACCGTTCAATATCAGCACCACACTGCGGCCAAACGCCTCAGCAGAAACCCGTTTTCCTGGACTGTTTGCCCATAATTGCGCCGCAGAACTTTCCTTTCAACGGAGCTTGAACCGTTGCTACATGTGTTCCAAGTTTCCATGGAGAGAGTTCATGGTTTATCTGCGAAGCACGTAGAAGTTATCTATAAACGTTCCGATTAGACAGTAATGCATCGCAAAGACAGTTCGAGGTGTTCTGGTGCGTAACTATTATAAGGAATGCGAATAAATGCTTCGAATAGCATAAAAGCTGCATAAAATATGAATGACATAAAATGACATAAAACGAAAAAAGGCATCGATGGTGTAATTATCAGTCAGTTATCAATGCCTACATTTTCTAACGAGTGATTAATGACCCCTCGACCCATGAGGAATTCCCGCGCTAACTGCTTGGCTTCCCGATGTGTCAGCCTTACTTCCGGCGCCTGCACTCCCAGTGTGGCTAGTGCGTGCTATGTCAATGCTTACATAACGCGGTGCTACGAACTTAGGAGCGCTCGAACCGGCTCTTATCGTCAATGTCGTCAATATTTATTGGTGATTCGAGAGTTGACAAGCAGGCGCCACCGCGCTGGTGACGGAACTGGAGTCTGTTTGGCTTCAGCGACCTCAGTGTTCTCCTGGGACGGCCGCGTCATGAACTGCAGCCTGCAAGGGCTCACCATGAGTCTTCACAGAGACACTCTGTTGACAAAATATTGATAACGGTGCAGTCTCACATGTCTGCCCACGTCTATGACCGTCTTGTACCGCCGTTTCTGACAACTGCACTGCGTCACTTTCAGGCGAGCTGGACCAGGCGACGCTGGAAAAGATGCGGCAACCTCGCTGCGGCGTCAAAGACAAGATCGGACCGAGCACGCGCAACCGGCGCAGGAAGCGCTACGCCCTCCAGGGTGAGTACCTCTAGCGGGAACTGTTGTGTGCCGCTGCAGCGGTGGCTTGTGTACCGGGAACGGCGAGTACATGGGGCGGTAACTACCCGCCCCAGGGCAAGGGGAAAAGAACGGGCAATGGGATTCCGTGGAACATGCCAGCCAGCACCGCATTGGCATTCAACACACTGACGCGTCTCGACCTTGGACCCGGAGCTTCATACATATAAAGATACGAATATTTTATTCATATCAATGTTGTCCATGATAATACATGTAACATTGGCAGTCCTTGCCACATCACCTACACGTCTATAACGGCACAGCACAGACGATGCGTGTTTTCTTTACCTCACCTCATGTCACGACTTGCCTACAGGATAACGTTGGGCTTGTTTGATGTAAGTGTCTGATGGGTAAAACTAAAGACAACATATAATTATTTAATATTATTAATTTAGTTTATTTATTTATTTATTTATTTATTTATTCAAATAAATCGCCAACAGGCTCATGGCCCATTAACAGGCGAAGTCATACCACAACATAAAATACACACACAAGGTAAACACTAAGCACTCATTCGCAATTAGATGACACTTAAAAATACAGAGATCCATGAAAGAGATCCATTAAATAATAGGATATAATATAAAAGTACACAGTAAAAATAAAATTAAATTAAAAGAAAAAAAAAACAATAAGAATAGGAAAAGTACAAACAAACTTTAAAATCTCTAAGACACGGTTCTCAAAGGCATGTTCCTGCAGTGGACCACGACGAATGATTTAAAAGAGATTACAGTTATTAACAAGATACGAGTATGTAAGAGCTACGAAATAGGCCAATATTTGGCGATAAATAGGTAGAATTGTAGCGTTTTCTTCCGGATGCTATTATAACCAAGTTAGAGAACACCTAAAAGGGACTGCCACAAATGAAATCAAATACGATGTGGAGTCCGCAAACGATTGGCTTCCACCCAACGTGCGTTGTATTACTGTGAATACTTGCGTAAAGCTCTTTTTCACCAATGTCGGCCTTGCAATAGGGCAGGTTTTGGGTCACAGCCTGTCCGACCAGTGACGCCACTGACGCAGTAAGCTCTGTCCCCGTCACGCGGGTGGCTCTGTGACGAGGGGACGAGCTGACACGTCCCGACAGAGGTCAGCGGCACCGGTCAAACAGAGCAGCGGGCCGCGGCACACGCGGGCCAAGGCCGCCCCGCCGCGCCGACACTCTTCCGCCACGGGCGGTGACGAGCTGGGGGCCTGAATGGCGCCCGGCTGGCCGCGAGGTCGTGTCGGCGTGCCGGGCCCGGTCGCCATGGGTCGCCAGGCCCGTCAGGGTCGCACAACGCGCCCCTTCCCCTGCCGGTACGGCTGCGCAGTCCAGGAAACGTTCACTGTCAGCCGGATGTGGCACTAGTCGGACGGTGGTTACATGCTGATGGGAAAACCGCCACCCCAGACAGGATAAACAGCAAACACGCTCATAGCCGCCCTCGCCGCTGAAAACACTCGCACTTTTTATAAACGCAACCTGAAATAAAATCTGCAAGGTGCTAAGTGAATATGGTCTAGCAAAACATCAAACTTATGTGGCGCTTTATCGCCCGGCTCTTGCATACCAATGAACATAGACATTATCATTTTCCTCACGCATGTCAAGGTAGCGCACGCTAGGTAGCACGCTTGACAAATCGTGATCTACATTACGGTCATTTACGGTCATACCAGACCCGCCCTTTCCTCGCAATACATACATACATGTTTGATGTTAATCGCCCGAGTGTATCGCCCGAGAGAACATTGCACTTCTCAGACGCTAGTCCATACGGCACAGCGCACGGTTCAGAGACATGCAGTTTATCTTGACGTTGGTGTCGTATGTGTGTAAACACTGACATTGCACATAACACAGCTCAGATAGACTGATACAACTATGCCAACGCAAGGCACTTCATGAAAACCCACTGATAGTGATTGGAAAAGCACACCGTTGTTTCTTGTTTGGAAATTCAACAGGCATATCCGTTTTTTCCGTATCGCTCTAGCGGCGGCTCGGAAGTGCAGCCGGCTCCCGTGTCCGTCCCAAGTCGCGGCGGCGCAGTCCTGGAGGCGCCGTGAGTCAGCGGCCGGACGTGCGCCGCCAGCGATTACCGATGAGATATAGGCGCGCTCACACACTCGAACCGCTCCTTTGTGGATCGCTTTGTGAGCGCCGGGGGCTCTCTCACCTGGCACGGCCAGGCACTCACCCGACAGCAGCTTACTCACACGCCCGGAAACCCTGCGGGAGCGACTGCGGGGGCGACTGCGGGGCTTCGGCTGTCCTGTGGTCGACACCTGCCCGATCCCATCATTGGGTACAGACTTACTGACGAGCGTACAGGGTGGCGCCGATTTTTATCGGGCGGCAAATCTTCCTTCCCAGCTGTGTTCACTGTTCACCTATGCATTGTATGTGTCATTACATACGGTTTGCTGGACGGAGTTGCAGTTGTGGTTGATAGGTGCATCCGGGGTACCACGGAAACCGCCCACTTACCACGGACACGGACGGATATGCAATGGTGCATCGGGCACGGGCACGGAAAGACTATCCCGGCCGGACACGAACGGACAGGGATGGTAGCGTATCGGACACGGACGGGGACAGAAAATGGCAGACGCGGTCACCGACAGACGAATTATGCATCAGACGCAGGCACGGACATGGACACAAACACAGATGGTAGGTATCGACGCAGACACAGACACTGGCAAGTGACGGTAGTATAACAGTCGCTGATGCGGGCATACGGACGGCAGCGTGTAAATTGCGGGCACAGACGGCGGACGCGGACGTAAACGAACACAAACAGACGGTTATATGTACTTTATGCATCAGACGCGGACACGGACGAACGTTAGTGTATCGAATGCGGACACGGACACGGAATGAGGGTCGTGGTCGTGGCCCTGACCCGATAACCACTGTGCCGGCTATCACCAGGCCGTGAGTTTTTGGCGTGCGGGCGCGTGCAGCTTACCGTCAACAGCGGCACAGCGGCGAACATTACCAGCCCAAACAACGATGTCCTTGACTGGCCGTCTTGTCCTATCAACCGTGGAGCTGGCTGATGATTGCTGATCAGCGATAATCAAATTCGTTGTCGACTCTTTATCACGCTTTGTGGCGGTTGTACCGTATTCCTTATCAGGCGCCCACATAACCGAGTTCTTTTTGTGAGTGAGTAGCTTAGTTTGCGCATATTTCAAGGGCTTTACGCTTGTAAGTGCCGTGGGTGTGCGACAAAGCACAGATTAGCCCCGATTCTAGGCCACGCTGTCAGTGAGCCGTGAGGACTCCCGCTAAGTTTTGGACGACGCGTCGAATCGCAAATTTCAGGTCACGCCACTTTGTCTGTATAGCACCGTTGGTATCATATAAGAAGACCTGTAATCTGACCGATCACGTCACTTACCAGAACTCTCTGTTAGTCGCCCGCGGTGGCACCCGTGAGTAATCCCCCTGGCATGACCTCGTGGAATGGGGGCGATCAATAAGCGACATTGGTACACATAGAGGGAAGCGGCGGATATTCAGGCATGCACCGCTGCCAGCATATCCGGGTTTGCGAATATTGATGTCCTCTTGAGACAGTTACGACAGTTACGACACTTAGTTATGACTCTTATGACAGTTGTTTGCGCTTTATAGCAGGTAATTAATTCGTCTTCATGAGGTCGAACAAAGAATGCATTGTACTTCAATGCGTGTTTTGCCCACATACCCATGTGTTCGGTAGCTGCATTATTTACTATTTAGTCCATGTTTGTGTAGCCGCTGTTCAATAACTCCCTAGACTCAGTTCAATCACAGGCCATCGGGTATCAAGGCCTACTTCGATTAGCTATAAGCTCTATTAAATCGCTTTCCTAGATCACACTAAACAAGCTCGTTCACAGTTATTCCTGTCGGAATATATCAGCGTCAGAATTGGGCCCGCTGCAGCCCGGCCTTAGGTATCGGGATAACTGCTCGCATTCGGCGCCTAGCTATGCGGAAACCGGGATAGGAGAAACGGCCGATCGAGATTAACCTGCTAGATATGGCCCGCCCAGGTCAATGTGGGCTTGGTCTCGACAGGAAAGTAACAGATCGAAACTGGTCTGTCTTTACATGCCGGGACATTACCACGATAAATATGCCGTTCTCGTTAGTTTATGCCCCACATTCTGATTCAATTTGCACCTTTAGCGTTTCGTCGGTTGTTACCGTCGGGGGAGCTCGACATTTAGGGGCGGCTGTGATATCTGCGTGGCACGGGTGCCGCTCCTCCAGTGTCAGCTCTGACACTGGAGGAGCGACGACACAATCTCTAGGTTAGCTGACACCCGCTGTCTCCCGGGCCACAGGCAGCCGGTGGCGGACGCGCGACATCAAGTACAAGATCGAGAGCTGGCCGTCCAGCGTCACGGACAAGAGCGCAGTGCGAGAGGTGATCCGCAAGTCGTTCCAGGTGTGGGCCGACGTGTCGTCACTCTCGTTCCGGGAGGTCGGCCCCTACGAGAAGGCGCAGATCGTCATCAGGTAGGCAGGGGCAGAGCGACCCATGGTGCCGGTCAGAGGTCGACCGACCGCCGCGCCGGTGCAGGGACAAGTTTCCTCACCTTGTTCGTATGGATGGGGAAGTGCTTCGCCGAACACTTTCCGGACTCACGTCATTTACTGGTAAATTGACATGTGCATTGGTGCATCCCGGATTTAAATCGTGTCGTCGTTATTTGTTGTTATAACAGAGGTTATGATGAGAATTGCATCGGACAATTATCGAACCAATTTTCCGGTATTAAGCAATTGACGTTTGCTGTCGCAAAATAGACGTACGATTCATTGAAGGATAAAATGTGTTTCCCTACTATGTCAGCAAATCAGACACACATATAGCAACTCTATCTATTGCTTCTGTCTGTTGGCAATACCGTATCTCGTCTGTGGCGCGCCGGCTGCTCCGTGATCATGAGTTAGTTCCTCTGACCTGACCTCTGACCGATGACCGGCCAGGTTCGCGCGGGGCGACCACGGCGACGGTGACCCGTTCGACGGTCGGGGCGGTACTCTGGCGCACGCTTTCTTCCCGCTGTACGGCGGCGACGCGCACTTTGACGACTCGGAGCGCTGGTCGGCCGGCGACAGTCTCGGCACGGATATCTTCATGACCGCCTCACACGAGTTCGGTCACAGTCTGGGCCTGTCGCACTCGGACGACCAGCGCTCGCTCATGGCGCCCTTCTACAAGTCGCCGCCGAGAGACGGAGGCACTAACGTACTCCGGGAGGACGACGTTCTTGGAATTCAGGTCAGTCGAGTGTCCAACCCCCTACTCCTCTCCTTACGTCACGAGGCACGCGCTGCCTCTGGAACGCAGCAGTAGCCGTCGCAAGCGACATCGAGCGTCGTCGCGTGACTGGGCGACTTCTCAGCGGTATCGTGTTTGCCCAAAGTCGGTTAATTTGACGATCGATCGGTTGTGCCTATATCAGAACTAGGAACAATGAGGGCTCGCCGGAACAGTCACACGCACCGGTGCGATACGGCTCCATTATCGATGTTTTGCTCGGATATTTTGTACTCAGTGGGCAATCACTGCGATCACTGCACTGAAGTACCAAGTACTTACATCAGTTTTATGTCCGTAACGATTTCCCACGGCAGCTTTGGCTGTCGTTGACAGTTGATTATCGATAAATGTGGCAATTTGATTAGTGACTATAAGCACGTAGAACAGAAAATCATTTTAGCGCCCTTTTATTTGTATCGCTCATGTACAACTCTAGCCGACGTAGTTGAAATCATGTATGACAATAGCCTCTGTGTGCCGTTCGGATGTGTATGTGTGCTGCGTTGCTGTGTTTAGTCCATGCGTGGTGTCCTACCACTCGGTGATAACCTGTCACCGTCCGTGCCGCCGCAGGCGCTCTACGGTCCGGCCCCGGAGGCGCCCACGCCGCCGGAGAACCGTCCCACCACGCGGAGGCCGCTGCAGAAGGCTGCCAGCGGCGAGGACCCGATCCTGTGCGCCGACGGAGCGGTGGACGCCATGATCACTGCCGGCTCGCAGAAGCAGACGTACGTCTTCAAGGGCGCCCACTACTGGCGGCTGACCGACACCGGCATCGAGAAGGGCTACCCGCGCCTCATCAGCCACTACTGGAAGGGCGTGCCTGACGACATTGACGCCGCCTTCAGCTGGCCGCAGACCAACCGCATCTACTTCTTCAAGGTGAGCACTGAGCTGACACAGCATGCGACTTCTCAGGCCTTCAGCTTTGACTAAACGGCATTGACATTCCAGCTAAGTTTTTCCTTTGATAATTCAAACTTGACAAAGCGCAGGCTCTGTACTTTTGGTTTGGATCTGATTTGCCCCAGTTTGTCTTTCGGTAGCTTCTGTGATTGGTAGTTACATGAATTGGGCCCGCGCCTCAATTCATTTTAATAAAACCGACCCCATTGTGCTATTATTCCACTTTGGCGTTTCCGTCACAAAAGCAAACAATCGCTTTTAAAAGAAAACCCGCTGAGGCCCGCTGGAATCATACCATGTTTTACTTTTTTGTCCTTCATAGGAAAATGATGCAGCTAGACAATGGACATGTGTACCTATTGTATATGCAACAATTTGTGAGCATATGCCTCAGTACGTCACAGTCGGTATGATTGATCTCCAATCACATCTTCATCATTCCAGGGCAACAAGTACTGGCGAATGACCAGCTTCAAAATGGACCCCGGCTATCCGAAACTGATGTCCGAGGGCTTCCGCGGTATTCCGTTCAACGTGGACGCGGCGTTCCGGTGGACGGGCAACGGCAAGATCTACTTCTTCAAGGGCGACCAGTACTGGAAGTTCGACCCGAGCCGCGGCAGCGAGCCCGTCTCCAGCTCCTACCCGCAGCCCGTCTCCAACTGGGGCAACCTGCCAGGAAACCTGGATGCCGCCGTCACCTACTCCAACGGGCGCTCCTACTTCTTCAAGAAGGGATACTACTATCGCTTCGACGACGCCAGGTTCCAGGTAGGTCCACTTGTGCGATTATTTAGCAATGAACATAAATTCAAACACTCAAAGTCCAGGGATCTTTCCATTCCGCTCCCCATCGCGGCTGTCTTGGCGCGGCGCGGGTGCGCCGGCCGTGCCGTGCCGTCTGTGCTCTCAGCGGCCGGGCGGCGCGGGCAGTGCCTCCGTGCCGTATCCGCTCCGTGCCGCCTGCGTCACGGTCACGAGGTCAGTCCCGTGACGGTCCGGCGAGTGAGTCAGCACCCACAGGCCGCCCGGGGCGACCGCAGCACCGCTTCAGGAAACTGAGACTCCGCCGAGTGGGCACCTAATGAGAGGTGACACGGCCTAACGCCTGGTACCGGATAGCCTCTGACACGGTGACACGAGGATAATTACCCCATCCGAGAACAGCTCGGCCGGGAGAATGCCGAGACAAAACACTGGTCAGTGAAAAATCAACGGGATGCTTGGCTGGTAGACCGGATTCAGACTGTATCTGCCCTCCGTCTTGGTTTCCTCACCTTTGCAAAATCAGTTTGAGTCAGAATTTGTCCTTGACGAGAACGGCGTGCGGTCGGTGGCAGCGACTGATTTCAAGGCTAGCTGACGTCAACACTCGGAGTTGACCGTGCTCAATCTCTCGGATGCATGGTAATAAGGCACTGACTTGAACTAACGCTGATACCATGAAGCAAAAATCCACGGATGCATGGGCACCAGCAAGAGTCATCAACTCAATATCTAAGGCGATATGGGGGCGAACATGCAGATAAAGCGTTTTGAAATAAAAAAAATCGTATAAACATAGGCTTACACTATTTTGCGTAGGCACTCGTTACATCTTTTAGAGGTGTAATTTTCTTGGACGGAACGGAAGTCTTAATAACATTTTTTTATGTTCGCCACATTTTACGTATATCTTGAAACCGCTTGTTTGCAGATGTACATTCGTTCCCAATCAAAGTGCGTCGTCGAGCCTCCTGTCCGTTGTGACATGCATTCTTTGTTCAATGGGGCGCAGAGACGGGACTGATCAGTGTTGACGCTTATCGTTATCACGGGAATACAAATAATAGCTAGACTTGCGCACACCTGCAGGCATGCAGGGTTCTACAATGTTATAGTATATCAATATAATAATTAACTTGTTAAACGTTTCCATTTGTTTTGCATATTCTAAACGTTCGGTGATTGATGTAGCCGGTGGCTGATCCGGTGTTAGATGTTTGCAGTGGTAGCGTGGGACGATGTCATAAACCGTGCTGCGGGAAATGATCCCATGGGTGTTGGCCGTTCATCGCTTGGGTCAACAGTGAGCCCCACCAGGGGCGGTCGCAGACTTGGAGTTTGGGGGGGGGGGCCAACTTGGCAAAGGGGCCCCTGCGCTGACCCGGGGGGCCCGGTGCTAGTTTAAAGGGGCCCACGGGCGTAGTGCACGGGTGCAGAAATCTAGGCCATGGCCGGTGAAGCGGGGGGGGGGGGGGGGTAGGGAGCGGCACCCGAGCGGAGGCTCATTGAGAGCTTTGAGGGTGCACCGTGTCGAAAAGGTACCGAAAAGTGCATTTTGAAGCATTGATTATGTCAATAATTCACGCACCTGTGAATGGACTACCGCAAAAGTAAAAGCGGCTAACTTTGCCATTTTCTTTGCAAAAAAAGCTTTGCCATTTTTTAAGATCATCGTGCTAAAGCTTTTAACAGTGGGTCATCGGTATCTATTCACTGTTCAATCGGTCGGAGAGGCCATCGTAACCAAGCGCTTTCTATCACATGTGTTCCGACTTCCGTTTATTCTTTTTTTTTTTTTACTTGAGCACAAATGCAAATTTTGAAGACCATTACAGTAGCAAATGCTTCGAAAGACGGATAGTGGGCAAAATATCCTAAATTTGTCGTGCTGCATGGAAAGTAGTGTTGCTGAGGAAAGGTGGTTTTGTTCCAGATTATTGTGGATGCAGAATACATTGTCTGCACTCACTGCAGAATTATTGTTGGTGCAACTGCGCCCACTGCACCCATGGTTCCTACACTTATGGGCCCATCGATAGCGCTTCGGCGATACCTATCGCCTAGAGGCTGCAATGGGGCCCTTAGTGTACGGTGTCAGACCCCCAGAGGCCGGCGTTGGACCCAAGGGTCAGCGAAGGACCTCAAAGGCCCCAGGTAGGGCCCCAGAGGCTGAGGTGGGCCTTCATAAACAAGTGCGTGACGCCAAAAGGTAAGGCTTGAGCCCCCCAGAGAACATAATAGGGCCATCAGCGGCCGGTGTAGAGACCTCATAGGCCAGTTTGCGGGCCCCTCAGAGGCTAGTGTGGGGCCTCAGGTGTCGCTATGAGGCACTTAAAGACCGGTATGGGTCCTCAGAAGCCGGCATCGATCCTTCAGAAGCCAGTACGGGGCCCTCAGAGGCACATAAGGGCAGTTTCGGTCCCAGAGACAGAAATGGGACCATCAGAGGCCGGTGTGGGTCGTGGGACCTTTAGAGGCTGGTTTGGGCTCTTAGGGGCCAGTTTAGAGCCCTCAGAGACCAGTACAGGGCCTGCAAAGGGCAGTTTGAGACCATCAGAGACCGAATTGGGCACTCAGAGGCTAATATGGGTCCTTACAGGCCAGCATGGAGCCCTCAGAGGTTAGGGTGGGGCCCTAAAAGACCGACATGGGCCGGCGTTGGACCCCAGAGGCCAGAAGAGGGCCCTCAAAGGCCAAGATGGGCCCTCAGACTAGGCCGATGCGGGCCCTTAGAGGCCGGCATCAGGTCTTCAGAAGCCCGTGCGGGGCCCTCAGAGGCTAAGGTGGGTCCTTACAGGCCAGCACGGGCCCTCAGAGGTCAGTGTGAGGCCCTAAAAGACCGGCATGGGCCGGCGTTGGACCCCAGAGGCCAGCAGAGGGCCCTCAAAGGCCAAGATGGGCCTTCAGAGGCCGATGCGAACCCTTAGAGGCCGGTATCGGGTCTTCAGAATCCAGTGTGGGGCCCATAGAGGCTAATGTGTATCCTTACAGGCCAGCATGGGCCCTCAGAGGTCAGTGTGGGGCCCTAAAAGACCGGCATGGGCCGGCGTTGGACCCCAGAGGCCAGCGGAGGGTCCTCAAAGGCCAAGATGGGCCCTCAGACGCCGATGCGGGCCCTGAGCGGCCGGCATTGGGTCATCAGAATCCAGTGCGGGGGGCCCTCAGAGGCTAATGTGGGTCCTTACAGGCCAGCATGGGCCCTTAGAGGTCAGTGTGGGGGCCTAAAAGGCCGGCATGGGCCGGCGTTGGACCCCAGAGACCAGCGGAGGGCCCTCAAAGGCCAAGATGGGCCCCCAGAGGCCGATGCTGGCTCGACATCGGGTCTTCAGAATCCAGTGCGGGACCCTCAGAGACACTTAAAGGCTAGTCTTGGGACTCGAGAGACGGAAATGAGGCCACCAGAGGCCGGTGTGAGGCTCTCAGACGCCGGTTGGGCCCCTGAGGCCGGTTTAGGGGCCCTCAAAGGCCAGTGGAGGGCCCTCAGAGGTCAATACGGGTCCTCAGCGGTCAATGTGGACGCTTGAACGCCACTGAAGGGCCCTCAGAGGTCAGTGTAGGACCCTCAAAGACTGGTATGGGAGCTGTTAATAGCTGGCGTGGGTTTCTCGAGCCTCGTGACAATCGAATACGGGCCAGGGCCCCATACGGCCATGGGGGCCCATCGGTTGTTTGGGGGGGGGCCAAATGATATGATGGCCCCCCCTGATTTGCCTTTGGGGGGGGCCATGGCCCTGATGGCCCCCCCCCCTGCGACCGCCACTGAGCCCCACCCTTCACCCGTGAATGTGTTCAACTAGCTACCCCACCCGACCGGTTACTGTCCCAAATCCAGGTGATCCCCCGACTGTATGAATCCCCCCAGCCTGCCGCCCCCGATCAGTCACTAGCCCAGAGGCGAGGGACTGTCTTCATAGGAAAATAATGATTCATTAGGAAATATGTGATACCCACGCCGCATAGCTTGTTGCACCCAGCCTATGAATGCGAAAAGTCCCGTTTAGGACCCGTCTGACGCCCCAACCTGTTCCACCCAACGCACCCGTGTCAGAACCCCCTCAGGACCGTCCCTCTGACGGAGCCACTACTTGTAACACACAACCCGCCTGTGTCAAAAGCCCACTAAGGACCGCAGAGGAGCGCCCCTCTGACACTACCCTTTACCGCAGGTGGACGAGGCAGACCCGCCGTACCCGCGGCCGGCCGGGTACTGGTGGTTCGGCTGCAAGAGTCAGTCGTCCAGCCTGCGCACGGGACTGGACGCCGGCACCGGCATGAGCCGAGGCGGCGTCAGCTTCAGCCAGCGGCGGACCGGCGCCGGGCCGTCCGCTGACGACGACGTAGGTGAGTTGCGGCCTCAGGTCGCACATAGGGGGGGGGGGAGGGTAACACTGACCCCGCGTTCGGAGTCTCCCGGACGACGAAGACGTCGTCCGGCCAATCCCGTTCCACAACCGCAGCCAAGCCCCCGCTGACCTTGAACGGGATTGGCCGGACGACGTAGAATCTTCGTCGTCCGAGAGACTCCGAACGCCGGGTGAGTCTTACGTCTTCTGCGACCTCAGGCCGCACAGAGGGAGGGAGCGTAACGTGTAGTCACGCCGCACGTGGGATATCGTGTACCGATGAGTCATGTGATACCGCCCAGTTTTTATACAATGTGTAGTAGTGCCGCCTGGAATACCGAGTAGTTACACATTATACCACAGTTATGCTATAGATTTCTACCGCACTGCGGTGCCATACCGTGGAGTCATACCACGGCGTCCTACCGGCTGACGTACCACGGAAACGTACCGCGGAAACGTACCGCGGAACCATTACGCACCACGTAGACATACCTCCTGATAACCGTAGGGTTATGCTGCTCAACGCAACCCATGCAGCTCGAGCTGGATGAGCTACACAGCTAGAATAATGAACACATATTTCATATCCGACGTACCTAATGCCGTCTTATAATAGCTATATCCACTAGCCAAGCCATGATTTCGTCAAACAATTGCCACTTTCAATTCAGTTTAAGGTACACTTTTTTGGTCGATTTGTAGGACTAATCATGCGCCCAAATCGGTGAATGAGTAGGTAATGAATGAGTGACGTCAATGAATTAGCTGGTGTTGGTGGTGGTGGGGCTACCGTGGTTTATACCCGACTGATTTCCCTTGCATGTCCAAACAGTGTCGTGCAGTCTGTTTGTTTTAGTCGGTGCCTAATTCGTCTGTAACGGTGTGTGTCTATTGTTTCGTTCGTCATGCATGTGTTCCTACGCTTGCCAGTTTAGACGAACGCGAGTAACATCGTTTATACTCGCTGCGTGCTATGTATATGTAGATTTAGAAGTCTTGACTACCTGAACCGCTGCAGCACGACTTCGGTCGGACACGGTTTTATTTTACGCACTGCATCACTAGTTGTGGCGTTTAGACGACATGCATCATTTCCTTATGGTAAATGGTGAAGGAAACATGCTCCCGTTTAACATTTTTATCGTTTTAAAGTATTGTATTTTGTCATTTACTGCTAATGCCAATCATGAATATCCCAGCATAGCGGATTGTAGCTAATTGTAGCTTCAATTCAAGCATCTTTAATGAAATAAATCTGAGTTCTAAGTTCTATGGTCAGTATTTTATTTTTAGACGTATTTATATCACGGTATTAATGACTTCGACGTCGTTAAGAGGTCGTTGGCGCAATCTCAGGTCGTCACAGCTCCGGTCGCTCGCACATCACCGACATGGCTCTGGTCACAGACAGGCCCTATGATTTCCGCTGAGCGGCCGGACTGCCCCTGCACCCCCCTCCAGACCGCCGCTACGGTCGGATGTGTGGGCAGTGTCAAGATTACTTTACTACTCAGTGTGGGCAGTGTGGGTCCATGGCCGTGCGTCCGTCCTCACCTATGAGGAAGAGACACGAGAGATGGCGCGGCCTGCAGACTTAACTTCCCTGTCGGATGTTGCATCCCCCGATAGCTCCGGCCAAAATTCTGGTAGCGAAAAACGCAGACTGAGCGGGCGCTCGGCCGACACTGGAGCGAGGCTGGCTCCCTCACTGCGGCCGGCCTTTTCCTGATTTGACAACAGCCCGGTAAAATTATTGGCCGCTTTTATCCTTCACTGCTCTTCAGCAGAACTGCAGATCTCTCAATCATGGCCACTTAATCGGGCCGATGTGCATAATGACCGGAAAAGGCGTCTGATTTACATTTGCCCGGTGATCAGCCGGTTGGCCCCGTATCGGTCGGATGCTTTGTCATAATTAGTCCGGTGACGTCTCGCCATGGGTGACCTCGCGTTCTCCGCCCGTGGCTGTTTTCCGGGTGAACTTTCCTCGACGCTGCACCAAAGAAAATTGGTAGCCTGTAGCTTATAACTATACCATAAAGTATCCAACGAAACTTCCGCAGCAGTTTGCTAGATCAACATCCGCGTTAACTTGTTGCAGTGGCTGTCAAGGTCACAACCAGCGAGGCGTCTGGTGGGCGGTAAGCAGCCTGGCCATTGATTACCTATTAATCGAACCTTTGACGTCAACCGATCACTACCGGCGGCGATGTCGTGTCGGTCTCCATCAACTCGCTCGAGGCGGAGGTGCACGCTGCACGCTAGGCGCCGGCGGACGTAAGAGCGGCCGTGCAGCCTTATCTCCCGGGCTGGTGACGGAGACACTAGAGCACACCGCGGCGCGTGCAGCCACCCCTCCGGTGCGGCGGCCGGCGCACAGTGGGCCAGGCGCAACAAAAAAGCGGAATTAAGTCGAAAATCAACTTCGGTGAAATTCCTGTAATTATGGGATATAGTATTGTAAAAATGTCTTAAGTTTCCGAATAAGCAAGTTTCCTTTCCCCAATGTCAAGGCAGATAATGCTTTAACGTCGCAAAGTAGGACTTACCGACTGGAGATGGAAATGACTGCTGTGTACCATATTCCGTTCCCCCGATTCAAAAGCTCTCAGCGTAAAATCATTTAAGTTATTCCGTACAAAATAGCTTTAAAAAAACAGCCGGTATTTCTGCGCATGTTTCTCGTACTCAAGTTCCCGGGAACTATTTCATGCTTACTAGTAGCGGTGGGGTTTACAGTGCCTGTTCGGAACCGTGGTAGTGCAATGACGCAATGAATTTATATAAGGATATAAAGAAAACGTCACCGAACAACACGAAGATATTTGCTGCCTGACTTTCCTCAAGGTGTATAGCTTGCTGCCCAATGCAAATATTTTGCGCATTTTTGCGCGAAATGGACAAATAAGGGTTTAACCCTCGCCGGCATAGGCCGTTTTGCATCCCTCGACGGCACAGGGGGATGCGACCCTCCTCGCGTTTGGCCCCTAATTGAGCTAGAGCCTCGCGGAAAAAAAACCATCGTTTAGTTCGTCACGAGACGAAGCCAACGGTAACCGGTTTTAAGGTCATAAGTCAAATGGTGACCTCTGAGGTCAGGTCAATGGCCGAAAGTCGGGACCTGTTAGAACGTCGTATAGTGTGGCTGCTAAGGGGGTTTTCGGGATGCTGATCACGAATATCATGTTAGTTTTGATCACAGATGATGTCTTCATGCATTTGGGCCAGGTCGGGTCAGCTCAGGTCAGATCAACCAGTATGGGTCCTGCCGGGTATTCGTAGTAGGTGTCAACCCGCCTCTGACAGCTTCGTAACATGTTACGAAGGCACCAAAACTACTTCGTAAATGTTCAAATGGTTCCTAAATTCGAATTCAGCCCCAAAAACTAGCCCAGAAACATGAAAAACTCGAAAAAGTGAACCGAGGTCATCGAAGGTCAATGACCTGACCTGACCTTCAGGTGACCTTTACACCCACCCTAATGCATGGGACCAACATCATATCACATGTTTGAACGCTTGAAACCACGAAAAGACTGCAAACGCGCGGCCAATGCGGCATAGTGCCCGCCTGTCCCAGGCATATGTGCAGCGCAGAAATTAAATAATGACGTCATAGGTCAGAGACCTAGCGTAACCAATCAAAATTGAAAATGGATATCGGATTCGGCTTTAGCATGATATTTTACCCTGTAACGAATCGTTTTTGGCACCGCAGCTGTGCTCAATGATTTAATTCCGCTTTTTTGAAGCGCCTGGCCCACTGTGCGGCGCGGCCTCAGTTCTCGGTCTGCACATTACGACACTGCCGGGGCAGGAACTACGCCTCTGTGGACACGGTCGGCGGCCGTCTGTGCAACCCGTGACGGTCTCTGCCAGGCTCCGCGGTTAGAGGATCCCTGCAGACGGAAAGATATACTGCACAGAAAACAAACACGTTCGTAAATCGGGTGGATGGCAGCACAGGCGACTGCCTGTGCTGGCAGTCGCCTGTGACGACCCTCGACCTCTGGGACTGGGAGCACGTTGCAGAGGAGAAGTCTGTTGTCTAAGTAGAGCTGCCTTTTATATGAGCGTAAACTGCATTGTTTATTTTTCTCATGCAGAAGTCTCTCGATCTTACATCTATAATAATATAATTTAAATTGTTTGACCTCTTTACGCAAAATACTAAATGTTCCGCTGGATAAGAGGCATCTGACAGGTGTCAGCTGACACGGCATGGCAGCTGCAATGATGCAATTATTGAATGGCGGGCGGCGGCCCAGAGGCTACCTGAAGGCTACCTACCATTTTTATCATTTTCATGTACATCCCTAAAGTCACATTTCAACCAGTGACAGAAGCAAATGTCTACGACGTTTATACGATTAATTCATGGCAATACAACAACACAGGATTTTAAAAGATTGACTCGCAGTTGCAGGTGTTATGCGCTGTATATGACAAAGGCTGTGCTCCCGTCTCCACGGGGCACCTTTTAACCATTCTGCATATGCCCCGACCAACTGCAAAACTGCATAAATATCGTTACACTTTTGGCTTTCCCGATGATAAAGAGAGCAGTCAAGACTAAGTACGGAGGAAATGTAAACATTTTACCGGGTTTATTTTCCCTGCCTGATCGTTCGATTCAATCGATACTAATCTTTACCTTGACGAAATAATCTCTCTAGGTTACCGCTTGCTGCTTTTAGTTATCAGCTTTTAGCCATGGCTGCGGCTATTGCGGTAAATTGTGCGTATATTGACATTCGCAGCGATGCTTACATGCAGTACCTACTGTAGTGTATCCGGTATCGTAATTTGGTGAAGGCTGATGGGTGGAAGTCCCTGAGCTTGTTTCGTCTGTCCTATTTATTAGGTATGTCGCTGTGCCAGTTTTCCACGCTGTGCTGTTTCGGTGAATATTTTCCCGTTATGTGAATGCGTGTGATCTCCGCCGCTCGTCCTGTCCTGTAGCGCTGTGCTGTGCCATGCTGTACCATGCGCTGTTCCGTGTATAACAGACGTCCCGGCCGCTGCGGGCGTATACCGCCCAGCCCCAGCCTGTGCTCGCCCAGCAACCAGTGTGCACCGGGCGTGACCTGACCCTGAGCGGCGGCGGACACCGAGTGACCCGCGTCCTGTCTCCCGTGACAGCTGTAAGCTGCCCCCGTCTCCCGCATCACACCCGTCCCTGCCTCCCGTGGTAGTTGATCCTGCTTCCCTGCCTCCCGTGACTCCCTGGCCCCCGTGAGTCCGTGACAGCTGTAAGCTGCCCCTGTCTTTCGCATCACACCCGTCCCTGCCTCCCGTGATAGTCGATCCTGCCTCCCGTGATAGCCGTGCCTTCCTCCCGTGACGGCCCGTCTTGCCCCCGTGACAGCCGCCTCTGTCTCCCGCCTCACCCGTCCCTGCCTGCCATGACAGCCGTCTACGTTTTCCGTGACTCCCTGCCTCCCTCGAAGGAAGGCCGTTCCTGTGTCCCCGGACGGCTTGGTGCCTTTGCCTCCCGCTTTGTAGGCAATGCTGCAACTGACTACCTCGCTCTGTTCCCAAGAGCGTCGTCGCCGGCTGTTCCGCGTGCTGACTACCATGCTGAATCGCCGGAGGGCGTACCGGCAGGGCTAGTGGGTTGGTGGAGGTCAGGTCAGAGCAGGTCAGGTGGAGTGTGTATAATCTGGGAGCTCACTAATGACCACGCGCTAACCCCTACTAACCCAGGTGCGTGCACGTGGCCAACTAACCCGCTCTGGATAATGACTGATGAGGCTCGGCTGGTCGGCCCCTGAGAAGGCGCAGCTCAGCCTGGGGTGCTCTCCTTGGCACCCAAGCTGTAAGATAAACCACAGGGGCTAACTACACAAATCCACGCATTAAAAAGCTGCGGTTACGTTGGCACAACACCTGGCTCGTCGCGTTGGTGAGACACCCGTGACCGAGCGTTTCACCAGGCGCATCGCCGTCTGGCGCGTGCCCCTGAGGCGTCACAAGGTCACGTGTGGCCGTTCCGCGCGGTCTGTCGCACCACGACCTCACCTCCGCTTGCGCCCGGTGGCATTGGTCGCTCGGCAACTGAACGGCTCACCGCCCGCACATTGAGGTGTGCCCCGCGCCCGCCTCAGTTCCGGGGTGTGTGCCGCGGTACAGACACTCATGTGACGCCACCCGAGACGGAACACCACCGCAGGGGCTTCCTGGAGACCTGCGAGTCATGGAGACATGGTCCTCGCGAGTCATAAGATATTCACTGTCACCCTCACACCACCGCAGACACTCCGCAGCGCGTCCAACGGTGCTCTCTCTCTCTCTCTTCTCTCTCTCTCTCTCTCTCTCTCTTCTCTCTCTCTCTCTCTCTCTCTCTCTCTCTCTCTCTCTCTCTCTCTCTCTCTCTCTCTCTCTCTCTCTCTCTCTCTCTCTCTCTCTCTCTCTCTCTCTCCCTCCTTTGGTTTTTTACCTGTTTTGGTTAACTTATGTACCTGTTTGCATGAATTTTGTCACCCTGCGAGTGTGGGTTATACACCATGGTCTGTTTGCACGTTATTTGTGCACGTACACTATGGAATGCACAGTGCACAGCCCGGTGCACGTTGTCACTACGATCACATGATCACGGTTGTCAGTCACGGTCACAATAGTCAGGAACGATTTGGTCAACTCCTTTGGAACGCACTTTTATTTAATTTGCCATCTTCTCGGTCGTTTTTAGTCGCATCTTTGTATCTGCTCGTTGGCATATGACATTTTGTTCGGATTTTTTTTTCTTGATTTGTGTAGCGCTAGCTTTTTTTTTTTAAATTTATCTTCAGCACACCGTACTAATGACTCAAAGCAAACTCCCGCACCTGTCCCCCCTTTCACGCTTTCTGTGTCGTAGACGCTGACTGTCTCCGTCTGCCTGTTACAGTGATGGCCTTCGGTGACGAGAACGTACCGGACCAGGCACGGAACACGGCACGGCGGCCGGCCGACTCCGGCTGGCGGCTGGCGGCCGGTCTCCTGCTGACCGCCGTCTTGGTCACCGCGGCACGGTCCGAGCTCTGACAGAACGCGCTCCTACTGTGATGGACGCCGGCGCGTCATCAGAGCCCGCCGGACTGCGACTGTGCTCCCGCTGCTCCACTGTGCGTCGGCTCCACTGTGCGTCGGCTCCGCTCTAGGAATGTCCGACCATGTTCTCACGACGCTGTGCGATGCCGAGCTATGCTGAGTGACCGTCCGACCGAGGACCGCAGCGCGGCGCGGAAGGGGACGGCTCGCCGCTGACCCAGCTCACCCCAGCTGTGTCGAGTGGTGCCGACCGGTCCGCCTCGCTTCGTACCGCGCTGCGGTGCGCTCTCGTCTGCGGCAGTACGCTTTGTGTGCCGGCAAGGACAGCTATGCATTTTGCAGCCATACGTACGGGCATGGACTGGTTCCAGCGCGGTGGTGCTTTGGGCCGTTTGGTACGGTCTGAGATTGTTTCGATGCGATGGTTGACGTTGTGGGTATAAATGTCTATCGGCATCGGTTAGAGATTGACTATCAATCGTATTCAGATCTTCAGATGCAGATCTCTTTGAAAACTGAGAAGATTTGAAACGTCACTCACATGGGTCGGCTATGGTTATCCATTGTTGTCCGGAGCTTTATAAGAGCATAAGTGGTGCACAATGTATGAATACGCTGTCAGAGGGACCATTATTCGTTTGTTTTTACGAAGAGCTACCGGAGTATTGCAGTTAAGAAGAATGACTGTAGAGGGCGACATTTCGTGAAGCGCGCGTCGGTTTGATCTAAATAAGTCATCACCTTCATCGCATTCTGTCATCTTCCGCATTCATCATCATCACCAATGTACCGTCAACGTTGCCGTTCGTGCTTTTTGTGTAGCATTGAAGGAGGCCGATCTTGACGATACGACGCATGTAATTATTTTGTTAATCTTCTTTGAAGTTACAGCTAGAGCAATTATCCATCTAGGTTGAACAAACCATTTTCGAAATTCCTGCCTTTCAATTGTGTTTCCTTAGAAATGAAAAGTAAGGTATCGATTTTGGCCTCTATTCTTCTTTGGCTGATAACACATATTTTTGGAGTTCATTAGCTATCGCTCTCCTTTCCAAGTGATGTTTCCTTGCCCTTGTTTATTTGCATTCAAGCGAGAGACCAAATAAACGTTGCATTATGAACTGAATATCGCGTTTTTTTTTTGCTGTTCTGCAGACTTATGCACCTTGATCTATCACTGTTGCCACACAATGTAAAAACAACCACCTCTGCACTTCTATAGAAGCCAAATAACAGTTTCTTGCAACTGGGAAAGGGAGGGACAACACTACTACTCGGTTGTCAACCTTACACCTTGCAGCCTATTAGTATCTAAGGTATTCGCATGGCATTATATATTAACTCAGGAACCGCTGGGCCAACCGAGACGAAAAAATCACCATTCGAATTAAGCGTTTACCTAATCCTTTCTGGTATTGTAACCTCAGGTGACCTCGATAATCAAATCAGGGAATTCTTTTATAGACGATCGATACGAAAATGTCACCGCTGGAGGTCAACTTGAAGAGTTCGTCTATTGCAGCCGTTCTTCTATAACAGATAGGTAACTCGAGAACTACCGGATCGATCGATACGAAAATGCCACCAGTTGATTCGCCGAAAGATATTTTATCAGGCCTCTTGAGCGTGGTGATCGTTCTTAAGTGACCTCAGGGCTCAGTGAACTTGGGAGGTCACAAGAGCCTTTTCTCCTATGTCACCCATTCTACATGTACTTCGGGACTACTTGGCCGATCGAAACGAAAATACCAGTCGATTCGCGGTAGACAATTTTATCAGATGGTTCTAATATGTTGACCTCAAGTTCAACTTGACGATTTCGCCTATTGCAGTCATTCTAACTCAGCTAGGAGCTACTGCGCCGATACAGGTAGACGAAAATGCCACTATCGATTCGCCACTTAATATTTCAAATCAGGCTTTTTGTACGTTAACCTAAGGTGACCTTAGCGACCATGGGAGGCCACCTGGCTGTTTTTGCATATGACAGCCATGTACCTAAGACAGCGGGATGTTCCAATTTAAAGGGACCCTCCCACCTTCAAAAAAGTTAATGAATTGGCATGAAAGTGATGTCGCTCGGTTCAGAAAGAGCGAAAACCAATAGGTACCTATCTACCAAATTTCATCGAAAAATATTCACTGGTTTTCAAGATATTATACTTTTACTTTTGTTTACTTTTTAGGATCTCCGCTGTTCCTAGCGACTTTATTTAAAAGTGCGGCATTTGTTGCGCGCAAAGCAGCATATACCACCGCGTGCTACAAAACGTTTTAGTCAAACATGTAAAAATCGTTAGATATCTGCGATGACGTCACACATTCAGAGGGGTATTCCTATGCATTAGCCCCTCTGAATCAAAATGCTGCAATTTTGAAATTCAATATTTCCGATTTAAGGCATTTCTCGATGTTGTGAGTGCCGAAACCGGTAATTGTGAGCCAGGGACCCCATTTTGGCTATCTCAACTCAAATCTAATGTTAAAGGGACTATCCCACCTTCTAAAATGTTGTTAAAACCAGTTAAATTGTGCCCGACTTTATAGATTGGATGACCAGGAACACGGTTCTGGCATTTATTTTTCATTAAACATCTTAGGCTTCCCATATTCCAAACACAAACTTTCAAATATGTGACGTCACAGCCCAAAATTACCTCCTTCCCCAGGCCACATTACCAGGGGCGGATCCAAGGGGGGGGGGGGGTCACATGGGTCATGGCCCCCCCCCCTTGAGGCCCGGGGGCCCAAAGACCTGCCAGGGGCACCACCGGCCTATCAGGGGTATCACAGTCCTGACAGGGGCACCACAGAACCGCCAGGGGCACCACAGGCCTAGCAGGGACACCACGGGCCTGGTGCCCCTGGGCCCTGACAGGACTGTAACGCCCCTGACAAGCCTGAAGTGTCCGCGGCAGGCACGTGGTGCCCCTGACAGGCCTGAGGCGCCCCTGCAAGGCCGGTGGTGCCCCTGGCAGGCCTGTGGTGTCCATGGCAGGCCTGTGGTGCCCTTGCTAGGCCTCTGGTGCCCCTAACAGGCTTGTAATGCCCCTGGAAGGACTGTGGTGCCCCTGGGCCCTGACAAGCCTGAGGTGCCCCTGACAGGCCAGTGGTGCCCTTGCTAGGCCTGTGGTGCCCCTGGCAGGCCTCTGGTGCCCCTGACAGTCTTGCGGTGCCCTTGGAAGGAATGTGGTGTCCCTGGGCCCTGACAAGCCTGAGGTGCTCCTGACAGGCCCGTGTTGCCCTTGTTAGGCCTGAAGTGCCCCTGGCAGGCCTCTGGTGCCCTTGCTAGGCCGCTGGTGCCCCTGGCAGGCCTCTGGTGCCCTTGCTAGGCCGCTGGTACCCCTGCGCCCGGAGAGGACTGGTGCCCCTGAAAAGTCTGAAGTGCCCCTCGGCAGGCCCGTGGTGCCCCTGACAGGCCCAAGGTGCCCCTGCGAGGCCGGTGGTGCCCCTGGCAGACCTCTGGTGCCCCTGGCAGGTCTGTGGTGCCCCTGGCAGGTCTGTGGCGCCCCTGGCAGACCTGTGTTGACTGGTGCCCCTGCTAGGTCGCTGGTGCCCCTCACAGACCTGTGGTGCCCCTGGGCCTTGACAAGCCTGAGATGCCTGGCTATGACAGGCTGGTGGTGCCCCTGATAGACCAGTGGTGCCCTTGCTAGGCCTGTAGTGCCCCTGGCAGACCTCTGGTGCCCCTCCTACCCCTGCGCCCGGAGAGGACTATGGTGCCCCTGAAAAGCCTGAAGTGCCTCTCGACAGGCCCGTGGTGCCCCTGGGCCCTGAAAGGCCCAAGTTGCCCCTACGAGGTCGGTGGCGCTCCTGGCAGGCCTCTGGTGCCCCTGGCAGGTCTGTGGTGCCCCTGGCAGGCCTGTGTTGACTGGTGCCCCTGCTAGGCCGCTGGTGCCCCTCACAGGCCTGCGGTGCCCCTGGAAGGACTGTGGTGCCCCTGCCCCTAGGGGTGCTCATGGGCCCAACAGGCCCGTTGTGCCCCTGACAGGCCTGTCGTGTATACTTGCTAGACCTGTGGTGCCCCTGCTTCCTGGCAGGCCTGTGGTGCCCCTGGCGGGCCTGTGGCGCCCCTACAAGGCCGTAGGTGCCCCTGACAGGTTTGTGGTGTCCCTGGAAGGACTTTGGTGCCCCTGACAAGCCTGAAGTGTCAAGGACAGACCCTTTAGACGCCAGGGTCAAGTTCGTCGGACTGACAACGATTTGCTTACCTGATAACGTTCCTGGTAAGTACTCACTACTCAGTGTCCACAACATATATACCTACACATAGCACATTCATATATACTTGCTTACAATTGGTAAATGTGGTTGTGGCTAAGAGTTAAGATACTGACTAAAAATAAAAAATAAAAATAAAAACTGAAAATGGGGCACCACCAAAATGAAGTGGACGAAATCCGTTGAGTTTTTAATTTTGGGTATAGGTAGGGGCACCACTTCGATTCATGACCCTCCCCTTGGAGTTTTCCTGGATCCGCCCCTGCACATTACTGTCATAAAGCTGATTCTTTTTACTCTGTAGGCACCACAACAAAGTTCAGACCAAGTTTTAAGCGATTTTTCAACGAACAAACCCATTTAAATCAGAATGACTAAACGAGGTGACGTCACACTAACGGTCGCTCCATGTTGAAGATAGGGCCTTGTACAAGGCCCATTTTCAAATGAAGGGAACGAATTTCTTCAACACCAAGAGGCCGCGGGGGTTGCAACCTAGATAGATAATGGTTTCTGAACCTCGCCGCAAACTTGGCTATCTCAACTCAAACCCCATGTTAAAGGTGGGATAGTCCCTTTAAGGTGGGAGGGTCCCTTTAAACCCACACTGGTGCCGGGCCGGGCTAGGAATATTTAAGCACTCGAGTGGTCCATTTTTTTCCCACTCTGCTCGCCGAAGATACTAAAGGCGGTAAGCAAAGAAACTTGCGCACGGGCCTCGCGCGCTCCTTCCATTTTGCCCATGTTTTTTGGTCATTGTGCAGAGTGTTCAGACCCGTTTTACACTCGTTTTACATAAGAAACTGGACATTCTTTCTGCAACCTCACCAGTCACCTATATACAGCGTCCAACCGGGACCACAGACAACCAGATAAGAATTAGGCTTGATAGCCGAAATGTGGCAGCGCAGCCCTTTTGGCTCTGCTGCATAATATTCATCCAACGACTGTAAGCAGGTAGGTGCCTATGCTGAGAATAGGGGAAGGTCGCTAATTAGGTACCTTCCCCTTAAATAGAGCATAGGCAGCAAATCTTCAAGTCCATAGTAAATCCTTGTTCGTATTGGTGTTTTGCCAGCCGCGAACGCAAGGGGGGGGGGGGGAGGCGTGCCGTTCGGCCCCACATCGAGCTAGAGCTTCGCGGATAGAACGAGCGTGTTGCCGGCAACTTTGGGATGATAAGCGCATATAATTGCGCTCGGTAACTGCGATATTGCGTTGCTTACACCGCTGAGCATACAGAGCAATGAACTGAGCGGGGCTGCGGAGTCGGAGTCGGAGTCGGAGTCGGAGTTGGTCGGAGTCGACAGCTCTGTGTCCAGAGTCTCAGTCGGAGTTAACGTTGCATGGCTCAACGTCTTGCACTGCACCTATTTGATTGACGATACTGCGCTCGAAATTAGATTTTGTCGAAAAACAAAAATGCATTTTGATGTCTTGGACGAACGTTTTCAGCGAAAGAAGCAGAAGACGGTGAATTCCCCAGAACCTGCTCTTTAATTCTGCATGCTATTTTTAATGCTTATTTGTAACGCAAAGCCTTGGAAGTTGGAACGCACAAGGGATCGTTTCAGGCAAGATAAAAACATCTCCATTATGAACTTAATATCATGATATGGATTTCAATAGAATCGTCCGGAGTCGGAGTCGGGGTTGGAGTTGGAGTCGGAGTCGATTTTTGAAGCCGGAGCCGGAGTCGGAGTCACCGGAGTCAGTCATCCATCGACTCCGCAGCCCTGGAATTGAATGTAAAAGCTTTGTTACGAGCATACGCCTCATCGCTAACGCTATAGAGCATAAGCCACCCTATTACCGCCAATGTAACAAGGACTGCATGACGCTGCCATTTCCGGAAATACCCCATTACATAAGTGGTACATGCATCTGTTATATAAGGTGGGCGGC